AATTCATCAAGTTGACAGTGTTGCTTTAAATACAATTATACAACAACATGCATCCATAGCAATGCCTTTTCAGCTACACTGACTTTGAGAAGCCCCCAAATTTGCATCAACTGGTTCTTCTTTACCCCAAGTGTTATTGATGCATTCAAAGTACTGCAGGACAACTTTAATTTAATACAAGCCATATGGTTTTGCCCTCATCATATTACATTAATCTTGATATAATACAATTGTATTTCCACCAGTAAATTCCCAGGCCCACTATAAGCACTCTGTAAGAGTGCTTTACTATTTTAAGAGAGTCTCAGGGCTGAATTTACTGAAACCTGCACATTTTGGATAGCAAGGGGGGAAGGGGCCAGAGGAGATGGGGGAGGGACAGGGGAAGGGGTCAGAAAAAATAGCAGCTGCCATGGTGCTGGATAAGCTGCAACTGCTGCTCCTTGTGTTGTTGCTGCCACCATGTCTCAGGGCACAGAGCTATTCAGTTATGCCTCTGCTCATAGCTAAACCATCTGGTCTTGGTTACATGCTTCCCCCTTTGATGCACAAAATTGTTATTCTACCTCCTCTTTTAACCCATCTGGCAATAAGGATTTTTGCTGCTACTGAGCTGAGGATTCTTACTGCTACAAGAAGGAGAAAGGGCAGAGCTTGATTTCAGATGCCAAGCTGAATTTGAGACACTGGCCCTTCATAAAACTCATTTTTACTTGCAATTTTGCTGGCTCTTGCGTGCACATCATCCATGGTGTCCAATTAGTCCCACCTTAGAGTGGAACTGCGCTGTAAGTTTAATGACAGGTCTGAAAAGCACCTTTCCTTAACTTGTTGGGGTTACTCAGAAAAGAATATAAAGAGTAAACAGGGCTAGTGTCTGGTCCTTTGACTCCTCAGATGAAATAAGGCTTTCCAGGGGGAGGTGGGAAGGGGGTAGGGGTGAAAAAGCAAAAACTCAATATACAGTTTTCTCATCAACTCTGAGTACATCCCAAACCATGTATCCAATGATCTATTTGAGTGGTGCCCTGTATCACTCAGAGCTCACAGAACACGTATAAGGCATTACGAACAATCATCTTGCTCCTGACAAGTTTAACATCCAGTTCCTTTCATCAGATACTACTGCATTTTATAGTGAACTTAAGAGCCTGAGTATAAGAAATGCTAAGTACTCACAGTTCTCTCACAGGGAGGTATCTACCTTCCATCAAACTGCTTGCTGTGTTATAAGCAACATGTAAAAAACTGAAAGTGATCTGGGAACTCCAGATCCTTTAGTCTAAACTCTATTAGCATGCAGAGGTCAAATGTTGAAGGAACTAATTTAGACATGAAAAAAAGGATAAAACATGAGTTTATCAAACTCAAGACTGTACCAGACCAACTTCCTCTCTTTCTTTGAAACAGATTTTTCTAAACAAAGGAAATACAGATCAAATCTATTGGGACTTCAGTAAAGCACATCATATTATGATGTGCGATACATTTTTAGTTACATTTGAGTAGATATGATTTAGTGCAAAACCTGCATGATAAAGCAAGAATTGAACTAGAGAGGAAATGACAATTTGTGGTAAGAAGGAAAATAATGTGTGGAATGATAGCAGAATCATTCAAGCATAGATGTGGGGACCAAACTTATTCAACACTTTTGCTATTTGTGACAGGTACAAAACATAAGAGCACACTAATGAAATCTGCTGGCATCACAAACTTGGAAGGCATCTTCAACAGAGAAGAGGACTGGCATAGGTTACAGGAAGAACAGGATATCTTGAAGACTGAGGTAAAAAAAGTCAAATAAAACTTTAGTATGAAATGCAAGGTGATGCACTTGGGGATGAGTAAGATTTGTTTTTCCTTCAAGCTGTAAGCTCATGATTGGAAGTGACAGAAGAGGAGAAATATGCAGGTGCATTAGTTGATCACAGGAAGGCTGTGAGCCACTAATGTGACTGAGTTATAAAAAAGGCAATTGTGATCCTAGGTTGTAACAAATGAAATATTGCCAGGAAAAATAGTGGCACATTAATAGTATAGCACGAGGCCCTCATTACACCCGATTCATGTACAATACTGGTCCTCCTTGTTCAGGAAAGAGGCATTCTAGCTGGATGAGATGTGTAACAGGGCTACTCCAATCACCAGATGATCTTAATCCAAGATGACTTGAAAGCTTGGCTTGTTTAACCTGGCAAAACAATGGCGGGGAGGGGATACAGCCCTTTCCTAGAGCTACTTCAAAGGGAAGGATAAACCCCAGAGTAGCAGAAGAACTATTTAAGCAAAAGAACAAAATTAACACAAATGAACACAAAAATAAGTGGCTGGAGATTGTCTAAAGATTTTTGGCCCTGCTTCTCTGATTTGGGAGGCATTAACAAAATTGCACTTCTGTGGTTAGGAATGTTCTTCTAATTTCCAACAAAAAAAATTGTAGCCAATCTCAGATGATGCATGGCAAGTTTTCTTAAGATTTTATATTATGTGGTGGCCTACAATAGCTAGGGACTGGTCTCTACAACTCAGGGAGTTCTTCTAGGCTGATACTCCTAGGACCCATGACCACTATGTTGTCCCATCAAGCTTTCAAGAGCCTCTGTATTTTGACAGTGAGCTAAATCATGCATGGGAAAACACTATGCTTTCTCAGTGATTCCCTGACAAGCACAAGGGAGACAGTATGCAGACAGGCTGTTAACTCTAGAGTCAGAAATGAAGCTTGAACCCATGACTCATGCAAAACAGCAGGTGTCCACACGATGGAATTTCCTGTTGACAGCTACACCGCTTGGAGCAGAAGTGACGGGGCTACTGTCTGACTGCTTGAAAAGGTTTAAATACCAATGACAGCTATTGCTTAAGTGTGACATGAAGCATATCCAAAGAGCATCAGGAAAGAATGGCAGGCTACGAGATGGGATTAAACAAAGGCCAGTTTAACTTGATTATATGAAAACGTTTCCTAAATGCAGAAGGCCGTGGATTGCTTGAGTTCAGCCAATGAAAATAATGGAAACCTGTGACTTTCGATATTTAAACTAAACTGAGCAATGTAGAGAACAATCCTACTCTGGGAACCTAGCTGATCTTCTTCATGGGTAAATCATGATTCATTTGTGTCTAGACACTGCTCTCTCTCTCTGGACTATAAATTAAGGGGAGCTATTTTGTCACTTGCTGTTATGGAATACCAATGGCAGACCACTCTGTCACATTATATTTAAGGTTATACACCTCCAGCAGAGCTCAGCACCCAGCAGTGGCTACTTCCAACCCTTATCTTCCCTGCCCAGAAAACAGTTGGAACCATTTGGGAGGCAAGCTGCAGCCCATTCATTCTGAAAACTTCTGGTGGTCCATTTGCCATGTAATACTTAGCTGCACTCAACTTCTCCAGAGGTTGGTTCAACAATGCGACTTTCAGCTACAGTAGGGCATGCATTGAGCAAGGTACTCCTTTTGTTACAGCTCGGTAGTGGACCCTCCCTATGCATATGACCCGTTTCTATTGATAGTCTGTGTCTGGGGTGAAACTTAAAAGAACAACAACCACCCAGCAATTCCTGTGGTCTTTCACAGAACATGCTTTTTGTACTTCCTAAATATTTTCCCCACTTGATTAGCTGCAAAGAATATGGAACAAGAATTCTAGCACCTACTGAACCAGGTGTTGCTGGTGAAAGGAATCCTGTCACCGGGCTACGGTCCTCTTGGGTTTCCTTCTGATCATTTATCTCACTGGTTTCATCTTTATCTTCTCCATTGACAATGCAAAGCTGTTTAGATGGATCAGCGTCTGCTACATCGGTGCGTTTTATGACTGGCTGAGACAATAATTGGATTCCCGCAACATCTGAGACAGGAGCTGGTATCCTACCATTTTTTGTTGAAATGGTTGTGTGTGTAGGTTGCGGGTTATCTGTGATAGGAAGTGATTCTGAATATGCAGAGTTCTCAGATGTTGCATTACAATGCAAGCGAGTGGTATGAGAGACAGGAGGACAGGTGGTCTGTGACAGGGAAGACTCTGACAGGTTCAGAATTAGCAGTCTTTCAGCAGGTTCGGAGTTTTGCTGGGCTTTGCTGAATTCTGACAATACCCTGAAAATAAAACGCAAGCAACAAAAATGGTGAATGGAACGAATAAAGTCTGCTTGTAGCAAGAGACCGTAAGTATCTCTGGTTCCCAAAGGCCTGAAGTTGTCACATCATTATTAGACATGCTGGAAAAACAGGTCTCCCTACGGTTTCAGCCTCTAAAGTGCTGTACAGCTACAATCCCCCAGGCTATTTGCATGATTATAATAAAATCTACATTACTGTTTCTAACAGTATCCTGCTGTGCAGGGACAAGAGGAGCTAAAGCCTTGAAACCCACCACGTAGCAGACCCTTAGAGATGATGTAGCAAGGAGACCCAAACAGAACAGATACATTGCCACTGTGCCAACCAGAGCCTAGATTTTCCCTACCATAGTTTAATTTTTCTTTTTAGAAAGTACTGCGCATCTAAGCCCAGAAATATCAGAACTTCTTGGCTGCAGAGGTTTGGCCAGTTGTGCTCTCCAGCTTAACAATCAACTGAACGTTAGCACTGCAGAATTGGCTAGAGGTCAAGTATGGCTTATAGATCCCATATAAAGCTTGTGGGCTGGAAAACAGGACTCTCTTGCATAACCAGGTTTGGCCTCTCTAAATCCAGGTGGAAGAGCTCATCTACAATCGGAGAGTCAACAGACTTGTAAGAGAAATGAATATACGAGTGTAAGTACTTGAATATCGAGGATTTTACTTCCAAATTAATCATATTTGGAATATACTTGTGAATGTTTTTATTCCTGTGATTCCTTATTTTAAACTGCTGTTTCATATAGATCCTGCAGAAAGAGAGCTTCGCTATTTTGAGGGATTATGTACTGCAGCTTTGTACCAGCACTCTGATCAGAGTACGTGCACAGCGGTGATGTGCTTGTCAGAAGTCCAATAGCGTGTCACAGCTCTGGATGCTTATTAGCAGAGTAGCCCTGGCCACAAAAGAGATTACGCTATGTCTGCTTGCTATCAATTACACCTAAATCAAAACAGCCCAGTTAAAACTTGAAACAACATTTTTCCGTCATTAACTTAAATCAGATGGGTTTTTCCAAAATCATCACAAAAAAATACAAAAGCCTTTGGAATCTAAAAACCAACGGACAATGTAGGTAAGCAAGATCACTGATAGCTAAGGAAGAACAGACTTCAATGCTTGTCTAGGAGCTGGCTGAAATTTTTGGGGTAAATGTTTCCTCCAAAACTGCCATTTTTGAATGGTCCGAAAGTTTGTGAATTCCAGCTGAATTTAGCAAATAGATTAGGCCATTCCCCCCCCCCCCCCC